CTCCCTTCATGATTTCGCTTTTGGCTGCCGCTGCCGGCTTGTCTCCCCAAGCTTGTCTCCCTTCATAACTTCGCTCTTGGCTGCCGCTGCCGCCTTGTTTCCCAAGCTTGTCTCCATGATTTCGCTCTTGGCTGCCGCTGCCCGCTTGTCTCCCAAGCTTGTCTCCCTTCCTGATTTCGCTTTTGGCTGCCGCTGCCGCCTTGTCTCTCAAGCTTGTCTCCCTTCATGATTTCGCTCTTGGCTGCCGCTGCCGCCGTGTTTCCCAAGCTTGTCTCTGTTCCTGATTTCGCTCTTGGCTGCCGCTGCCGCCTTGTCATTTTCTTGCCTGCCTTTGACGCGGATGCTGTTATAAGATGACTTAGGTCTTGTTTAGCTTTTCCATCGTTTCCCCGGCTTTGAGTGGGATGTCTCCCAAGCTTGTCTCCCGCTCTTGCCATGGTGTCCAACTTTTCTTGAAGTGCTATCTGGGGTCTATGCCGGTATAATTTAAACGTGGTATCCGGTATAGGTATGATGCACGGCCTTTCCGAGAATATGTGTTCTCCCTGCAGCAGATGGAATAGCGCTGGGGAAATTATTTGGCATTCTGCTACGAATTTCGGATTTTGTTGGATTTTCCTGTTTCAAATCCATTTTTAGGGAATGCTTAGGGGACATGATTGTTTCAAGCAGAGGCCGGAGAAATTGAAAATTTGACCTATTATTTGTGTTGGTACTTCATTTTTGTGACTGAGAATTCCATGTTGCCCAAGAAGCTTGACACCTTGATCAGCCCCATCATGCCCCATCAATCCCCTTCTCGCTAGGTGAGCGAGAACTGGATTGGATCGAAGCTCCCACCAGCTTGGGCCAGGCGCCGGCGGAACGCGGAAAGCTGCAACGGCCGTGTTCCACCGCGGAGAGGGGAGCACCGGTCCAACCCCCTTTTTTGAGAGTGAGAAGATGTGAAAAGTTGAGGAAACAATCATCCAATGTCTTTGATTACATCACCTGCAGGGCGAATGTCCTTCCTCGAAAGCCAAAGCTGCTGCATGAAATGGACTAGCTAGTTCGACCACGCGTGATCCGAAATTGTAAGACCAGAATAAACCATGTTTCCTTCTGACTTCTGAGGTAGTTTTCCCGGTTGTGCTGGTATTGATCTATTGACATTGGGTTGTGCTCAACATTGACAACTTTTATCTTTAATGAGTCTACCAGGTGAATCAAAAGGGTGTCCAATGGTTTTTAGCTTAAGGGGCGTCCAATGGACACGGTTTTGATCTACCTGGTAGAGTTCTGAGAAAAATTACAAGTGCTTCAGGTCATTTGAGTCTTCAGGTCCCTTGAGTTGCCAAATCGCCCGATCGAAGGCGCAATCAATCGTCCGATATGCGTGGTCCAGTTCCGAGGTCACACCATCCGGCGGGAACAGAGGATGGCCTGCAAAACCTTTGCTTTTAGGTTTCCCATGGTTTCCCGCCCACTCAACAAGAACTGGTAGAAAAAGGATGTACTATACATCAAATATAAAAAACGACTCAGGAGTGATGGGATCCATCAGCAAGTTCCTTGTTTCATAGAAACTGAATGCTGAGGCAGTTTCATGCAGTTTCCGGAACCCAGATGTCTCATCCAAACGGAGAAGCATGAAATAGCAGTCCTAAGTCCAGCGACTTTGCCAAACCAAGTGCCTTGACACAGATGAATCAAGTCATTTCCGTTTCCCAGAAATCATCATCATGGAAGTGGAGTGAGAACCACCCGTTTGGTCAACATGGTCATGCGGAATCGGGCCCCACTTCCGATGATTTCAGGTCTGAAACGCGCCGATCATCTCGTGCTTGAACCCAGCCACCATCCGACAGGCTCCCACATCCGAGCCTCGCCGCACTCAGCCACCATTCGGCAGGCTCCAGGGGAAGAGGGCTTTGACGCCTGGTTGGCTTCAGTTCTGCCAAAGCTGCAGAATGAGAAGGCCAAAGCTCGCACTCGCGCGTTCGAGCCTCGCTGGGTCGACGCGACGCCAGTTCCCAAAAACAGGTCCGGTGGGACTGGAATAGATACATCTACCCCGGGTTAACCACGCCAGTGTGCAAATAGATAGCCATAGATGGAGTGTTTGGGTTTTGGAGCTCATGAATTTCGCGTGCATGCCTTGTGTTTGTCCTCGAGCAGGTTTCCAGAGCATTTGATCTCCTGCCAGACGATGAAACAAGAACAAATTACTGAACACCGTCTCCATGTCAACCTGGCCATGTGGCATACCAAAGAGACCTTAGCGTTCAGACCTTGAACTTACAGGCACCACCTGGAGGCCCCCGCATTGTTCATAGCTTGGCCCCTTGTTAATTGTTTGCCTCCAGTAGTGCAGCCCTTCCTTCCTACGTACCTGTCGCGTCTGGGGTATGTTGGAATGACATTCGATCCTGGCTCCAGGGGCGCGTATGACAGGGGCGCACAGCCGCCAGCAATCTGAATCTTCAGGGCATAAGAACACATTTTTAGACAGGGTCCCTTTGATATTTTTTGTGCAATGGAAAACACGCACAGCACTTTGTAGATTGTTGCCTTATTCTTGCTTGCTCAGAGCCAGGCAGACTGACAAAGGAGAAAGGAACGCCATGTACCCCAGCGAATTGGAACAGCTTGGTGAAGAACTGCTGAGAATTCAGGTTGTGGGCGTGAGTGGAGAAGGATTCCAGGTCCAAGTGCCCAAGTCCCTCACTGGCTCTGAGCTTCGATTAATCATCCGGGACCGACTTCCGTTGAAAGCTGGAGCAAGAGTCGTGGTGATGAAAGGATCTCAGAAGCTTTCACTAACTAAGACTTTGGCTCAAGAAGGGCTGGCACAAGGGGAACCAAGTTCTTTGTCCTACGCCTATGAGATGGCCAACTTGCAGGAGGCTTGGAGATGCTTCCAAGGTCACCCAGTTGAGGATGAAACGATGGCTCTTGAGGGGATACTGCAGCTAAAAGGGCTGGATGGGCTAACTCAGCTGAGGAGCCTTGCTTACCTCAAGAGCCTTTCCTTTGGTGATGGTTTCAACGAGAGTTTGAAGGGAGTGGCTTGGCCCAACAGCCTTCAATGTCTTTCTTGTGGTGACGGGTTCAACCAGAGTCTGGAAGGAGTGGCTTGGCCCAGCAGTCTGCAATGCCTTTCCTTTGGCTTTAAGTTCAACCAGAGTTTGCAAGGGACGGCCTGGCCCAGCAGCCTTCAAAGTCTTTCCTTTGGCTTTAAGTTTAACCAGAGATTGCAAGGAGTGGCTTGGCCCTGCGGCCTTCAAAGTCTTTCCTTTGACTACGCGTTCAACCTGAGTTTGGAAGGAGTGGCTTGGCCCAAGTGCCTTGAAAGTCTTTCCTTTGGCTATGCATTCAGTCAGAATCTGGAAGGAGTGGCTTGGCCCAGCGGCCTTCAAAGTCTTTCCTTTCACAGGTTCAACCAGAGTTTGCGAAAGGTAACTTGGCCCGACAGGCTTCAAAGTTTGTCTCTTGACCAGTTCAACCAGAGTTTGGAAGGAGTGGCTTGGCCTACGGGCCTTCAAAGTCTTTCCTTTGGTGATGACTTTGACCAGAGTCTGGAAGGAGTGGTTTGGCCTAGCAGTCTTCAAAGTCTTCTATTCGGTGACGGGTTCAAGCAGAGTTTGGAAGGAGTGGCTTGGCCCAGCGGCCTTCAAAGTCTTTCCTTTGGTGACCAGTTCAACCACAGATTGCAAGGAGTGGCTTGGCCCACAAGCCTTCAAAGCCTGTCTTTACTTGGCTTCAACCAGAGTCTAGAAGGAGTGGCTTGGCCCGGCGGCCTTCGAAGCCTTTCCTTTGGTGACCAGTTCGACCAGAGTTTGGAAGGCGCGGCTTGGCCCACAAGCCTTCAAAGCCTGTCTTTACTTGGGTTCAACCAGAGTCTGGAAGGAGTGGCTTGGCCCAGCGGCCTTCAAAGTCTTTCCTTTGGCTGGGGGTTCAACCAGAGCTTGGAACGAGTGTCTTGGCCTAGTGGACTTCAAAGTCTTTCAATTGGCGATCAGTTCAGCCAGAGTTTAGAAGAAGTTGCGTTTCCCAGCCAGCTTCAAAGTCTTTCCTTTGACGGCGATCTCAAGTCTCTTCAAAGAGTGGCTTGGCCCAGTGGCCTTCAATGTCTTTCCTTCGGTGATAACTTTAACCAGAGTTTGGAAGGAGTGGCTTGGCCCAGTAGGCTTGAAAGCCTCTCCTTTGGTGGGAGTTTCAACCAGAGTTTGGAGTCAGTGAGTTGGCCCAGCAGCCTTCAGAGCATATCGTTTGGCTGTTTGTTTGGGGCGCTGAAGAGTGTGAATTGGCCAAGCAGTCTTCAGTGTTTGGTTGTTGGCTCGGACATTGAAGGTTTCAGATCTGAGGTCACAGACATGGATCTTCCTAGGGGTTTGCGACGTTTTGAGTGCAAATTCGAGGAGGAGAACGGTGATGATCATCATTGGGTCATCTCCACATTGGACACTGAAGTGGAAAAGGCACACACACATGCCAACCGACAATTTACAGAATAGACTACTGGGAAGATGAACCTCCCAGGAGGGATGAAGGGGTCTCATTGTTGGTACCCGCATCCACAATAAACTCTCATTTTTCGTGATTCATTAGATACATCATATGATACAACCCTATAAGACCCTACACCTCAGCGGATCTTAAGGAGATGTAAGGCGGTTCTGTGTTGTTTCACTACGGTCACCACGGTCCGCCTAGGCGGGTTTGCCCTCCGGGCCCCCCCAAAACGCACGTGGCGGATCGACCGGTCCTTCCGGCGGTTTGCTCGGAGGAGTCCAGACGGTGAGGAGCATGGGTCTTCAGGGGTCTTCCATTTACAGTGGATTGAGAGGTTGGATGGCACTGGCACCCCAAGAAGTCTTTGACAACTAGGGGTCCATAGAAACCACCCAACTTGGGGATTGTGCCATTTACTCTCAACCCACTATAAGGGTCTTTGTTTGTTTTTTCCATGTGGTCATCTGCAGGGGAGAATGAGCTCCCCACCAACTCTATATCCGACATGCTTGACGTGTTCAAAGGCACCGAACCGTTCGTCGACACACTCGTGCTTCCGAACCAATAGGACAGACATGGATGGTCAAACCATGTAACTCCTGGTCATCTCCGGGGGGGGTGGGGATGTTGTAAACCTCTTTGCGAACATCAGTCCAAAAACGTCTACTGTTCACATCGCAATATCAATAATACACCTGCCCCTGGTATTTGTTGTGGGGTGCAACAATTTGTTCATCGTAGTACAATACTACTCACAAAAATCAACCTCAGACCTGAAGCCGGAGCTAAAAGTAATTCAAACACATTCAAAAACTAATCAATTCAAGATCTGGAAGAGGGTTACTATTACACAGGAGAAAGTTCGGTTTATTATTGCATATTTTGTCGTTTTTCAAGGATGGTTCATTATTGACTTGCTTCCTATCTTAAACCCACCGATAAGTCAGGTTGATGATTGACAAGCCGGCCCAATATCCATTTATGATTCTATGGCTCGTCCGGACATCCACGGCGTGTGGTTGACCGCCCGCTCGGACGTCAGGCCAATGGTCACGTGGCCTTCGGCGTGTCGACGGCCGGAGATTTGGAGCACGCCACAGGGATTCTCCACGACACTTGGCGGACGTTGACGCGCGAATGGCTCGCTTTCAGCTGGTCGAAAAACGGCTTCAATATATATTCAATGGAGGTTCATCTGATACCTGGACACCCCCATTTTCTTTATTTGGCCGGGTGATGTGGGCAATCTCTTGGCATGATGTGGCTGATTGTTGCCCCTTGAGGATGAATGGACGAAGCGACCAATTGGTTCTCAACTCAAAGGGGTCCGGCCGGCGTTCTTTGGCGTCAAGTTGCCAAATAAGAAAATATCAAAACACATGCCATGTAAGAAAGCAATCTTTGCATACATGCCAGGTTGCCTGAAGCATGCTCTATCCACTGTAAAACAATAAGGGAAGAAAAAGCATCTCTTGTTTGGGACGGGGGGGTTTTGCACAAGGGTTGAACGTGTTGAGTATGGACCAAACACTTTGCCGGGTTTGCACCAGGCGCGAAAACGATAACAACACGAGAGAAAAAACGAGAGCGCAGCGAACCAAAAGCACCTTCCCGTAGATGGGCCCACATATGTGATCTCCATGATCAGAAGAGGGGAGTGAGTTGCTACTATTGCATGGGCTTCTAGCATGGAATGAATTGGAATGAATAACACGATACTGTAAGTACAGGGAAGAACAAACACGATAACTTAACGTCAAAAAATGTATTACGTCAAAGAGAGCACAGGGAAATATAGGGGAACATTCACACAACCCAAAATTCCTCATGCTACTAGTTTGCAAAGGGCATGTCCTTTCTTGACTCAATACTGGTACTTCGGATCATGCAGTGAAATCACATCAAATTACAGTATCAAATCACTGTGTTGCGTCAAACATTTTGTGCCAATCTTCAGGGGTGTCGTCGGTCAAACTCTGAAAAGAAGCAAGTAAGCAGCAAAAACAGAAAGAGAGACCCACTGTGGAGCTGCAAGTTTGCTGTGCTAACCCTATATCTATACCTTCCTTGTAAACCTCCCAAGAGAAACACTAAGAAACCAAATACTCAGAGGCCTTCAATCATCTCTTCCAAATTCACTCATCCTCCGGGACCTGATCTCACAGCGATTGGTCCGACCAAGGACTGGTGGTCCGCCGGCGGGCATCCCAGACAATGGGAGGGCGACGGCCGCGCCGATCCCCACGTGGCGGAGCTCATGGGTTTGCCCCGTCCGGAGCTCAGGTGGTGGGGCTGGAAACATTGCTGTCTCTTGGATACAAGCCTTCATATAACATCATATAGCATTTATAACATATATATATACTATATACACATTTTTTCTGATGTAGTATAATGCTATACGGTTTAAACACATCTCTTTTACACTGTAGCAAAATATTGCATAGTATACTATTCGCAGCTACTACGATACTTTTTAAACACATATTTGCATGTCATAGGCTTGTGACAGATACGGGAAGCTACGGGCATGTCATGTAGCATATGTACTTGTGACATGTTTTTGTTTTTGTTATTGTTTGTTCTGTCGATAAAACGGTCTTAAGATCAGAAAAGCATGGACATTTTACAGCATACTTCCTGTTGATGTTCTACCAACGCTGGGAACTAGTTGACAAACTTAGACTTGCAGATGAATAGCTCTGGGTGGAGTTCAAACACTTTCTTTTCCGTGCGCATGGGAGCGCACCTGCAAGTTCGGGGGCTGGAGAGCGCTTCCCCACTTTCGAGTGGTCAAAAAACAGGGAACAACATGGACCAACAGTCCCGTGGGTCATTTTCTGATGTATCCTATATCCCCCATTGGTTGTTGTGCTTAAATCCTGCACCTAACAGAACCTCTTGCACCGCAAGCGGTGCAGAGGCAGATTGTCCGGGCCCGGGGCTGAGGCGATCGCACCTTCATCCTCCATGACGGTGCAGCACATTTGTCGGGCAACTCAGGTACCTGCTGGGATCCAGACCTGATACCAGTGCTGGTACCCTGCTCGGTCCAGTCATGACGCAGGTCCAGTCACCTGGTTCTTTTCAAAGCTCGTAAAGTGTAGCCAACTCCATGAAGTCAGCTCTGTCAAACTGGCTTGTTTTTCAGTCCTTAGAGGCGGCTGGTGGATCTGGGGCAACTCCGTTCGTTCCACGAATGGTTCCGGAGCACAGTAGACTATCATAGAGTAGCATAGAGTAGCACGGTCATTTGACCACCTGTTGGAAGAACTAAATTAGCATCATGACCGTGACCAGTTCATATTTGTCCAAATCGTTCTTTTGATGTTGTCACCCACTGGCAGCTGCCATCAACAGTTGGGCGCATCAATCGGGGAGATGACGAAAGCGGACTGCTGATTTGTCCTGGCATGGCGCTTCACTAGTGCATATCTCAATGGGCCCCCTATGGAAGGAATCGAAGCTTCAACTGGATTGGTTCACTGGGTCATGGGTGCATGGACATAGGGGGCTTCAATTTCATTTATGGGGCAAGAATTGTAGGAAGGGTCCCAGTTTGTTCTCAGGGATGGCATGACAGGCATATGGAGGGACATGACCCTGTTGATGTGTCAATGTTCTTTTGTGTTTTGCAGCCTCGCCAGGTTGGGGTGTTCGCGCTGCATGGTGCCTCCCCCTCGTCTCGCGTGTTTTTCCGCTGGGGTGCCCAGGGCAGACCATCTTCTCTTCTCACATCTTCTCCCCATATCCCAGACCATCCATGAAGACTGGAAGGGGCACCCCAAAATCCTACTCACATGTATCCCTCGCACACTGACGTCTAATATATCCATGGAATGGCGGCGGTAACTGTTACCCTCCGGAAGCCCCATATCCATCGGACTCCCCAAACGCCTGGCATCCCATTCTCATCCCTGACCTTCGTCTTCCATGCTTCTCTTTTGAAAGTCCCTTCCATCGCCGGTTGGAACCTCTCACCCAGGTGATGGTCTTGGCAGATTCCAATTGGAGACCACACACTTGGAACATGACATTGCTGTGCATTGTCTAGCCCCATCAGTTTCAGTGGCGGAGTGGGCCTGTTCGGTCTTCAGCTCACAGCCTCTTGAAGTCCAGTTCTCAGCATCCCACCTCTGCAGAGACCTGCAGATGCAGCTGACCACAACTGCCGACGTCCTCAAACGATCCGAACACCACCTTTTCGACGACCATTCGCGGCATCGACCACGCGGAGAGATGCAGAGAGGAAGAGGGAACCCCCGCGGATGGACCTGGCTGGGTGGACTAGTCGAAGTTTCCGTGCGAACCCCGAGGTTCAATGTTTCGAACTGGGAGGTCTCCCTATATATGCATGCATCCAGCCCGACTGCTTCAAAGTCAGAGGCATGATATGATGTTGTGCTTTTGCATCCTTATGGTACCCGAACTTGGGTGGTTGATTGTACCCCATTGACCTTTAGGATTATACAAAGAAGTGCTTTTCTCGACGTTTCTCGTTATTGTTGCTCTTGATCTCTTGGAGATTCCAATTATGGCGGGTTGAGCCAATTGAACTTTTCCGGTTGCGTGGAAAACTGGACTTGTTTGGGCCACAAATACCAGTAGCATGAAGCACTCAACCCGCAACAAACCCTACTGCACTCACGTCCAGCGGTTGCAAGGTAGGCACTGGTGTGGGCTTCGGCATCTCCGATGAGGTACGTTTCCGGACGTTTCGTGTCGCTTGGGTGCTCAAGACAGAGGTGCCTCAAAGGTAGAACTGACGTAGAGCAAGTGGTGTTTGTTATTTTTGTTTCCGACGCCTGGTGTGGACTGCCTTCCGCTGGCTTGCCGGCTGTGGGCGCGCACCGTCCCAAGTGAGCTTTTTCTTTTCCGACGGATGCAGCTGATTATGCCTATTCACTTGGGCTTCGGCGATGGTAGTGCCACGAGAATACCCAGTGGAACATCCAGCGGAATGCTTGTTGCCAAACTCTTGAGGATATTTGGGCTGTGCGTTGATCTACTCATGAAGACCGTTTTGAGACTTCCGAGTCCTTCAACCCTCCTCCCACCGTGGGCTCGGAGCGGTCGGCGACATTTCTTTTTCGGCCCTGCCTGTGAGAGGATGTCTTATGAAACAACTGATCGAAGGACAAATGCCCCTTCTCACAACTGTTTAGGCAGGCCATGGCAGACCCCTTTCTCACAGTAGAAAACTGTTTGTGATGTTTGTGGAAACTGTTTGGGAGGAGTGCTGTTGAACAAGCTCCCAGCCCACAAGGAAGGGCCTCCCCCACAATGCTCCAATCACCTCAGAAGGGTATAGTCATAGTCATAGTTATATAGACCATGTTAGACCCCCGAAAGTGAGCCCACCTTTGAAGGTATACATAGTTGGAGTCCAACATAGGAATGTTTTTGTTTGAGGTGCCAAAGGGCCGTAATGAATTGCTTAAGCTCCATTCTACCAAATCAACTTCCTCGTAGCATTGCCAGGAAGGTGCTGTGGTGGATCCTTCTTCAACGACAGGTGTGCTACTGCGGGGGGGTGACTGAGGGGCATCCACTTTGGACCTGAAAGACCACTTCCAGCAGCACTTGGAACCCCAAACCAATCCTCAGAAAGGATCTATGACCTGAGGAGATTTGTTGCAGCGGTTGGGAAGCAGCCTGGGGGGGTTGGGCCAAAAAGCGATTGGACCTACTATTTCAGGGCTATGACTTTACGACCCATAGCCATGGGTGCAGCTCCCTAAAACGGATTGAGTTTCCAGTTTCCAAATGGTAGGATTTGTGGGTTTGGTTTGGCACAGTTGGCCATTCTTTAAGTGGCCAATGTATAGGTTTGCAACTGCCTGGTGAGAAGGTAGGATGATTTTCTAGAGTGTTTCACTACTACAGTGGTTTTCACGAAAGCTAGCTGTAGCTAGCTGGAGTCTGTCTTGCTTTAGCAAGGAGGGTGGGAGCCCAGGACCTGAGTGCTGTTACCTGATATATCAGGACTATACCCCCCCCCCTCGCGGGGTTCAACTCCACCCTTCTCCTCCTCGGTACCTGCTGCTGCTGCTTGGTCGCTGCTGCTGCTGCTGGCATCTCATCTGCGCCTGGCTCTTGGCTGCTTGCTGGTTGCTGCTGCTTGCTGCTTGCATGTTTGGTGCTGCTGGATGCTTTTGTCTTTCTGCTTGCTGGTTGCTGCTGCTTGCTGCTTGCATGCTTGCTGCTGCTGGATGCTGGCTGCCTGCTGCTTGTTGTCTGCTCCGTTTTGCTGGTGTTGCTGTTTGGGGTTGTTGGCTGCTGTTGGTGCTGAAGAAAGCCTATTCGTTAGAATCGAGAGTAGTTGCATTCCCTCTGAGTATATCCTTAAGAAGCTTGTACAGGCATGTACCCACCCCACAACCCCCAAGAGTACAAATCAGAATGCACTATCCGCTGTCCATGCAGATCAAAAGATGATACTTACTACACACATGAATGACAGAACCCAGTAAGATGTTTGAACGGGCTGTTTGCTTCACTCATGGTAGTCCGCGTTCGAGCGACGGGGAGCATGCACAAGCGTTGCGACGGAGTCTTCGGTCGCTGACACATGTTCGCATGCAACCCCTAGATGTCAATCATGCACACCGCTGCTGGCTGCATCGTCAGCATTTATTCGTGAAAAAAAACATATATATCAGATATATCTGTCTTTCCACGTCGCCCTTCTACAATTACTCAGGCAGCACCTATACGAGCTATTGTTCGAGACCAAATGTTGGGGCACAAAAGACTCTAAGGAAAGCTCACTCTTTCCCTGCTGCTGCTGCTGCTGCTTGGTAGCTGGTGGTGCTGCTTGGTAGCTGCTGCTGCTGCTGCTGCTTGGTAGCTGCTGCTGCTGCTTGGTAGCTGCTCCTGCTGCTGCTGCTGCTGCTGGGTAGCTGCTGTTGATGCTGCTGCTGCTTGGTAGCTGCTGCTGCTGCTTGGTAGCTGCTGCTGCTGCTGCTCCTGCTGCTGCTGCTGCTGCTTGGTGGCTGCTGCTGATGCTGCTGCTGCTGCTTGGTAGCTGCTGCTTGGTAGCTGCTGCTGCTGCTGCTGCTGCTGGTAGCTGATGCTGTTGCTGCTGCTGCTGCTGCTGCGTGGTAGCTGCTTGGTAGCTGGTGCTGCTGCTTGCTAGCTACTCCTGCTGCTGCTTCTGCTGCTGCTTGGTAGCTTCTGCTTGCTGCCGCTGCCGCTGCTGGTTACAGTTATTGTTGTTGTGGCTGCTGCTGCTGCTGCGGTTGCTGGGGTGGTTGTGTGTTGCCATGTGTTGGCTGTGTTGGGGTCGTATTGGGGGGGGCGCTGTTGGCACTCTCCTTTTCCCTTGGCCATGGCATGTTGCGATTCCCGGCCAGGCTTTTGCTGCCTAAAGAGCCCCAGCGTTGTTTCTTTGCCTAGCTCCCTCTGGGCCACAAGTAGAGTAGATAGATGGCGCAATCCCGAAGATGTCTTTCAGATGGGGATTCATATAAACCACTTTTCTTGTGGGCATTTCTGACACCAGTATAACTACCTTTGAGAAGGCATTTTGGAGCCCCATGGCCTTCTCCCATGTATGGCTCGGTTCTTGTGGGTGCAAGCCCAACCATGTCATTCGGGCACAACCTGGTACATGATCTTTACCAGCATGGCGTTTACTTCTGGGTCCCACTAAATATAGCTAGAACAAGCTCACTCAAAGAGAACGGTGACGTAAACACGTGATCCTTTTTGTTGCATGACATAGAGGCGTTATTTTTCCGGCATTGCTTGATCCATGTTTTGTTTCTTCATTGGTCTTCGCATACGAACCAGCTTTTTGGGGGGATTACCGACGTGGGATTGACGGACTCCGCTGGGGCCGGCCGCACGGTAGAATCAGCCACAACAGGTCTGGTCCATAGGCAGAGGGGGGACGAAAGCAAGGATGCTGAGAACGGCAGAAATGGCGTGACTGTGTGACTGTGTGTGTGTTTACGTGTTCTTTTTGTGTATGTGCGACGGAAATGACATGCAACTACTCGTATCATAGTGAACTCAGCTAGCCAGGCTGAACCACCCAGCTAGCTGGGGGGTTCGGAACCACTGTCTCCATGCTAAACCCCAAACCACCGAAGCCCCCTCACCGGCGAAGACTAGCCACTGCCGAGGCGCCCGGAGCCACTTCCTCAACGGGGTCCCCTTGTCCGGTGCCAGGCACTGGGACGACAGTGGCTGCTTGGTGCATGGTGCTGGCATACTTCAATCCCATGGCCGCATAGCATCTCCCATGGTTGGGACCATCGAACACTGCCGATGTGCAAAGGTATATGAACCCATCCCGGATGGCAGGGTTCATGTGTTTCTCTCAAGCTAGATCTATCCTATTCCTCTATAGTGTTGTGGCTGCGCCGGATGCGCGGCGAATGCCTAAGGGCGGTATTGGATGGTCACAATCAACGTCAAGCTGCCGCGTAACCGTTCAACCGAAATCGTTCGTGCGTGCCTCGGGTGGACTCACTTGTTTCCCAAAGCAGCTCCATGCGCAGACCGTTTATGTATGGAACGATCACTTACATCGATGGGTCTCAAAGGGGGTACGGTACATCACATTTGTGCAACTATTCCAGTCCCATGGATGCTTTGGGTTTCATCAGCGGCATTTTGATTGCTGCAGATGGGTATCAGCAATCAGCCGAGCTGATCAGCCTTCTCCGGCAGGATCGGACACCGCTGACCTTGACCGAAGTGTCAGACTTGCAGCCGCCCGTCATGACATGTCACCCCACAGTTAACATGTCAACAACGTGGCTCCGTGGCTCGTCTATCCTTAGAGACTTAGAGCGGTTAGATGATGTTAGATGTATGCAATATCGATCTATTCACCAGGAGTTTTAAAGGGGTGCGATCCATGGAGGTCGTCGGGGTGCCCCTGTCACCTCCACTCACTGGATGGGACGAGCCACACCACCCAACTCCATGTGACCCCTGGGCAAGTGCTAGCTATGATGTATCAGGCTCATGCCGTTCACTCCTCCGGAGCCCGCGAGAATCACATATACCCGTACCATAGGCTCATGTGTATCATTTGATGTAGGCACCAAGAGGTTCAATCACCTTCCAAACGGAGGTAAGGCCTTGGATCCCGAGTCGGGCCATCCAGGGCCGACTGGGGACCTTTTGCTGGAAGCCCTTCGTGACGACCTGGCCAGCTATCGCGGCCTTTGGCGCGACTGGGTGGCTCGCACCGAGCATGTGGACGACGTGGAGCAGGCGGACGGGATGAGCACCGCGGGTCGTCTCGAAGGGGGGCCGCACACGTGCCTGGCTGCACACGGTTGCCCAAAGCACCCGGTTTTTGGGGTGCCTTGGGCCTTGGGTCCCATGTTTCCAAAGTGCTGCACCGCCCTGCACTTACTCTGTACTGTCATGTATATAAAGGCCTTGCTGGTTTGCCTTCGACCTGCGTGTAGGGTGACCCTGACCGCAGTTGCATCGCGGTTCCGTCCAGGTGATGCGTAAGGAGTTCGCCAACATGGGCCGGCCCTGGAGCTTTCCCTGGGCCTGGAGCTTGGTTGGGCCTGGTGGAGCTTGGTTCGGCCTGGAGCTTGGCAGGTGCAAACTTGCTGACAGAAGCCAATGGTGCACTACAAAAGGATACCACAAGTCGTTTTTTTCCAGATACTGTTTTATACTGTGTTCTTATTTTGCAGGGTTTATGTTGTGCCTGGTGGCGGCGCAAATTGTTCGATTCAAAACTTCCATGTTAGTTTAGAGTTTAGGGAATATCGTAGTGGTGGAGGACAGTGAGAGATCACAGGGGTGATCTTTGAACACGTCAGACTGATCTGGTCACTGAGAGGTGCTCGTGCCTGTCCCGATGGACGATGCCAACCAAACTGCTCAACACTGTACTCATCCTATGGATCCACAGCCAGTGACTATCATACGTTTTTTGGAGCCACCGGCTGTAGGCCAACATCGGAAACCACATCCGAAGCATTGGCCCGGTGCATTCCACTGAGTTTATAGTAGAATTCAAATCTTTGGCAGGCTTTGGCCTAGCAGATCACTAGGATAGATTATTTTGAAGACATCAGGGCCTAAGAACATTCCCTCAAAGACATGGCCTAGCGGCCTACCTTGCATTGAAGGCTTTTGGAAGCACACAAGAGCTTTGGAAGGGAATCCTATTTCAGGCATGGTGTCAGCCTTGCTGAGAGACTGTATACTGTATACTATCATAATCTGTCATATAGACTGGTCATTTTGGATAACACAATGGCATGCATCAACGGGGTTATGTTTAAGACTGTACATAGCACAAAGTTCCGTTTGTGCATGGTAGCTCTTTGTCACTACCAGCATCAATGCTGGAATGACATTGTCGGCCACGCTGCGCCGCCGCGTTTGCCGGGTTTATCCAGAGCTTCTTGACATTCATCCGAAGCTTGGGGATAGTCAATAGATCCTGGTGCAGGTGCTTGTGGTTTCACGTGCACCGAGGTGAGCTTGGTCCTCGGCCGTCGTGGCATGGAGCTGGCAGAGGCGGCCTTCGGTCCGGAGAGCCCGGATCTATGGGATCAAATGGAGTGTAGGCGGAGTCTCTGGCCCAATGGGTTTTGGAGGGTAGAATATAGTAGACATGGTTTCTTTCCTTTCTTCCAGGGGGTGAAACTGGGAGGTCGCTGCACACTCGTATTCCAGACCACACAAGCCGATAAGCTGGAAGAGTTGCAGACATTCATCCCCGTTGATGACTCTTCCATGAGGATGGTTTGTGATATATCATATCGATGATAATATCTATACACATGTGTCCTATGTCTATGACCGTTTATGACCCTACCCAGACACTCCATGCCATAGGACTGCCGATCAGTTGGGGTGGTTGACCAGGGGTCAATGTTGGCGGCAGTCCTATGGCAGTCCCATGGAGTTAAGAGACCCTTGAGGTGTGGTTGACCAGGGGGCGTCAATGTAGGCATCATATACTGTATGGCATGCACTCCATGTCTCCAGTGCCTTCCCCGGATCTATGGCATGTCTCAGACCATCCGAAAAACGCGTTTTTTCCGCAGCGGTGCATCGGGTCCGGACGTGGAGTGCAGCGGTGCGCGAGCTCACGTTCCACCAGTGTTTTTCCACCGGTTTTGGTATCCGCGCAGGTTCATTTTCTTTTTCATCCAGTTTTGCTGGGTGTTCATCCACGTTCACCCCTTTAGTTGTTCTCCGTGCAGTGTTATCAAACAAATCGGCAGCACGCGGGCTCGGCCAGTGGAATTCACTTTGACAATAGGCTTAAGTAACATGTTAGATGCTTGCAACCTATACCAGGACCCTCCCTACCAGGTCTCCTTTGCTTGGCGTCAGTGCAGGTGGTACCTTCTTAAGGACGTCGCAGGTGGACTGTGAAGTCGGGTGCTACCTGGTTCTTCAGAGTGACTGATAACCTGGTTTGAGGCCACTTATATAAGCCTCCTAAGGGTCACTTAGGAACCTTCAAAAGGTCACTTTGAAGAGGCTGGTATATATGTTGATTTGGATCATAAACTCTCCAAAACCAGGCCAGCCGCAGCCTTCGAGACCCCCCCATCCGCCGAGGCTGCCCGCCGCCCGAGCGCGGCGACGACGGAGGTGCAGGCAAGACCGGGTCACACCTCCGCGTGGGCGGGAAACCTGAAAGGAGCCGGCGGGTTTCACACCTTAGAGATGGATGGAAAGGCCTGCAAGACTGCAAGCTAATCCTAATCATCATCATCATCATCATCATCATCATCATCATCATCATCATCAT